TTGAGTCCACGATCCATCGAAACGTCTGAGAATCTCGAAAATATTTAACCAAATACGACTGTGCGTGTTGGGATCCATAGAATGAGATCCATGATCCAACGATCCATGATCTTGAGTCCATAATCCGCCGAACCATCTAAAAATCTCGGAAATATTTAATAGAATATGATTGTGTGTATAACATCCATAAAGTGAGATCCAACGATCCATGATCTTGAGTCCATGATTCGCCAGAATGTTTGACAATCTCGAAAATATTTAACAAAATACGGTTGTGTGTGTTGAGATCCACGAAGTGAGATCAAAGATCCAACGGTCCATGATCTTCAGTCCACGAAACTATCTAAAAATCTCTGAAAATATTAAATAGAATACGATTGTGTGTATAGGATCCATAAAGTGAGATCCAACGATCCAATTTTCAGTCCACGATCCACTAAAACGTCTGTGAATTTCGAGAATATTTAACAGTGTAGGCATGTGCCTATGGGATCCATAAAGTGAGATCCAAGATCCAACGAAAATCCATGATCTTGAGTCGATAGTCTGGAACCTAAAGTCTAAAGTTTTTTTTATTTAGGATCTGTTGTCTAGAATTCGGAAAATGAACATTGAAATCGAAAAGCATCAGAGTTCATTGTATGAGATTCGTGGGTCCAAAGTTTTGAATTAATTCCAGGATAAATAATTCACATGGAGTTAAACTAATCTTGGCGAGTCCATTATCCGGAATCCATTGTCCACAAATCAGCAACTTTCCGGGGTCCATATCTCACGGTCCAATATATCCAAACGTGTTCGAATTGCCACGTTAGATTAGAAGAAAAGAAGAAACAACTGAGCACTCAGACGTATCTGTTAATTAAAATTCGCCGATTGCAATATCGCGTCTCCTTTTGTTTCGACGTGTATTAAATGACGACGTGGGTGGGGTCGGGACGAACGATCCTGGACGATGAATGGCACGGCTGCATTGTTGTAAGTGATGTAAAATTGAATTAGACCGGCCGTTACGACCGGCTGAGTGCAGGGGAATTGATGGTAATTAGGCTGCGACTGGAT